TGTTTGATACTCCAATGTTTTTTTCCATCTCACATCCCATTATCCATTTTTATCCCTTTTTCAGCATCCATTGCTCAGCTCCCTGGATATAAAAATAAACAGCTGGAATCTAAGCCCATTCCCAAAAAGTGGCATTTAATGGACTCCAGAGCTCCAGCTGCTCACCGGCACTTTAATGGGAAGCAGAACTCTTGGAATTAGCCAGCCTGGAATGTCTCATCCACCCACTGGCACACCAGGAGTGGAATTCCTGCTCCAGACCCTCTCCAGCCTCGGCTTCTCCTTGGCACTAGGAGGACTTGGACGCGAAGGTTTGGAATTTTTCCATGGAGCCCAGAAGTTGTCCAAGGGGAATTTTCCCAGTGGTGAGGAGAGGATGGAAAATTGTCCTCACCAGCGGAGCTCTGAACTGTCGGAATTTGGGATTTGGTTCTCCATGGACTTGGGAGTGTCCAAGGCCAGATTGGAATGGGCTTGGAGCATCCTGGGGTAGTGTGAGGTGTCCCTGCCCATGGAATGGGATGAGCTTTAAGGTCCTTTCCCTGAACCATTCCATGATTCCATGATCCCGTGGCTTGGGGAAGATGAAGGATCACGGAAAAATTCCAACCTCAAGGGGAGGTCAAGGCCCAATCCCACGTCAGCTGCTGCTCCTGCTGGAATAAAACCTGGGAGGCATCCACAGCCTTTTCCTCTCTGTTTTATCCCAAATTTTGGTTTTCCTGCTTAGCCAAGATTTATTCCTGGCTGTTTTCTGGTTCCAGATGAGTTAAACAAGATTTGGATTCCAATCTCATCCCACATGGACTCTCCCTTCTCCCAGATATCCCACCTCTCTTCCCTGTCTTTGTTCCAGCTTTTTTCCTTGTCTAATTCCCTCCCATCCAGTTCCCTGTTTTGTGCTAATTCCTAGTTGGGATGGAAGTGGGAGAGGTAAGAAAGAGGGAATGATCCTCTCCAAGTTATTTTTTTAGGAATGAGTTAAGGATTTAAAAATTAATTAATAACAAGTTAACTTATTAAAATTAATTAATTACTAACAAATTAATTAATAATTTATTTATTTATTGAAGTCTTCAACATCACTGGGATTTCTGGAGCTCAGACCATGAGGGAGATGATGCCAAATATCTCCATTGCCCACAAAATTTGGGATTTCTGGTATTCCTTAAAAAAATGGATCTGGAATTGAAGGAAATTAATTTCCATTATCCTACGGGAATAGAGTATTTTTAGGTTTTTTTCCTTGCAAAGGAAATCATGGAATTCCCAATCCCTGATTATTTGGACAACGGGAAAACAGCAATAAAATCCAACCTGCATTTGTGTTATTGTTCTGTTTGTTTTCCCTTGGATTGCATAATTCCTAAAAAAAGCCAGGAATGGTTTGGAGGCACCTGGCTCTGATTTCTCCCAGTCCCGGGGGTGAAAAGAGGGATGAGCTCTTCCCGGCATTCCAGCACGGAGAACTCCAAACTTCTCCAATGACCTCCCTGTCCCTCTCTGGAGTTGCTGGGAAGCTCCAAGGCCATTCCCAACCCTTTGGAAATGACTCATCCCGATTGTTCCCTGTTTTCCATGGAGGGAGACAATGAATCCAGGCTTTGTTTTCCAGCCATGGATTTGCCAGTGGATGATTCTTCCCACTGTTTTCATTGGCAAAGAGGAATTGTAAACCTCTGGTGTATCCTGGGGTTTCTTTTTCCCACTTTTCCACATCCTCCAAATCCTATTTGTCCTTTTTGGCTTGGGACAGAAGCAGAACCTTTGGAATCTGCTCCAAAGGGTGAAAAAACCAGGGATGAAGAGGTTCCTCCCTCCTCCACCGGCCCCAGGAATTCCATCCAGTAAAGTGCCCTGGCTCCATGGGAAAACCTCCAGGAGATCCCAGCACTGAGGTGGGAAAATGGAGGAATTTCATTCCCATGAGTTCTGGGAAGAAGGAAAAAGAGGGGAAAATGGGCTGGATTTGGGAGAGCCGCCACTTCCCGAATTTGTGAGACTGTAATTCCCATCCCTTCCTGGGATGCTGGACATGGATGGGGCCTGGATACAATTCACAAATGGAAAAGGTGAAGAGGATGGAGGGAAAAGTGGGAAAAGACCAAAAAAGAAGGGAAAGCAAAGGGAAAATGCACAGGGAAACATTTGGTTTGGATATTGGGAAGAATTCCTTCATGGAAAAGGTTGCCAAGCATGGAAATTCCTGGTGTTCAACCCATGGGACATGGAATGCTGACAGGGATGGAGCAGCCAAGGGCCAGGGAGTCTCCCTGGTATCATCCCAAATGCCAAAGAGAGGCACTCAGGGAATCCAAAAAGTTGGGAAAGATATCCAAATCCAGCCTTCAAAATCCTGTTTTCCAGGGAGGTTTGGATCCCCCATCTCCGGAAGTGTCCAAGGGAAGGTTCTGGACGGGCTCTAAGGTCCATCCCACCCCAAACCATTCCATGATTTCCATGATTCAACCCAATATCCCAAATATCCACTGAACCTTTCCCAAAAGTCAGAATTCCACGGCCTGAGGTCACTTGAAGATGAAGGATCATGGATCCCATGGAATGGGAGGAGCTTTAAGGTCCTTTCCCTGAACCATTCCATGATTCCATGATTCTGGGAAGGCTTGGGAAGATGAAGGATCATGGAAAAGGTTCCAACCCTGAGGGGAAATCCAGGCCCAATCCAACCTCAGCAGCTGGAATAAAACCCTGGATGCATCCCGAGCCTTTTCCTCTCTTTTTTCATAAGGGATAAAAATACCCGGCACATTTCAGGGATTGGCTCTTTGGGAAGGCTGGGATGGGAATGGAAAAAGCAGACGGGACAAATTCAACTCATTTTCCTCTGGAAGCAGATTCTGGATGGAGCCAAACCCAGAGCAGTTTCACGGCTCATTTCTTGGGAGTCTCCTGCAGATCCCCACAAATCATCCCTCAATCCGAGGGTTTGGGCTTTTCTGGGATAAATCCCGACTGCAGCTGTCACACAACACAGGGTTATCCATGGAAAAAGCCGATTTCAGGAATTTCAGGTTATCCATCCACCTTTAAATTCATCACCACCTTTTCCACGAGTGTGTTTACAAGGGGGGAAATTCCAGCACTGGGAATCACCATCCTGGGAAAGCCCGAAGGGGTCAGGCCTCAGGGAAAGGCTGAAATGAGCCGTGTCACGCAAATCCAGGGAAATCTCCAGCTTCCCATAGGAAAACTCACAGGTTTGGGAGCCAGGAGGCCACACAGTGTTTTTTAGGGAGCATCCTATTGGATCAGTGTTCCTGTTGGACCAAGGTTCCAGGGAATGAGGCAGAACCCATGGCAGGCCCCGTAATCCAACAAATCCAGCTGCCAACAGCTCCCAAAAAATATTTATGGAAGCGCCTTGACTCAGATCCCACTTCTCATCCCGCTCTCCCTGTGCTGCCTCCCTCTTTTCCAACCACTCCAGCAAAATCCGCCAGGATTTTGGGTGAAAATTTGCAGGTGGAAAATGCTCCCTTTGGAGCAGATAAAACTGGGCACTGCCTGGAAAATTGTCCTTAGTGGGGAGCAAAATCCATCTCGCTCATTCCCAGGATTTTTTGGGATGGATGCTGGAGATTTGGGGAATTCAGCCCCTCTGTGGGATGGAAGTTTTCCAGCTCCTTCAGCTCCCGGAGGGAACGGGAACACAACAGGGGTGTTGTGTCTGGATGGTCCCAAAGGTGTCCCCACACTTTGGAACTGCAGGCTGGAATTACTCCCGGCATCAGGTCGAGGAAATCTGGGATCAGGGAAACGCTCAAGCAGTGGAACTTTTGGCAATTAACTTCCAGGGAATCTTGGAATCATGGAACAGGTTATGATGGATAGGATTCTAGGATCATCCCATTCCCACCCCATCCATGGGC